ATATATATATATATATACGTATATATATATATATATATATATATATATATATATAAATACATGTATTGAATGTACGCATATATAATATATAGTACGATTTTTTTACAAACACCAAGCATGTAAGAAAAATAATAGCTGTACAAACACAAATAAGAAATAAGTTATGTATGCAAATCAAAAGCTTCTTACGTGATTCTCGAATGAATGATTTATAAGGTGACAGAATCAACATGATGTTCTCGTTTTCTACGGAAGATATATATGATACAAGTCCAAGATTATGTAGAATCTTTTCAGTTATTTGTATTTTACTATACTTGGAAAATTAAGGGTTTCAAAACTATTCCGTGTTATAAATTAAAAAACAACATTTTTTCTTGAAACTCTTTTGATAAGTGTTAAACTATAATTTTTCAAAATTGATCATGCTTATTAAAATATTGTGAAAAAATTAGGTAAAGTACTTCGTTAAGAACTGTACTTACAACCGTTATTCTTCAATCTTTACTCTGCTTGATTTCTGTATCATAATGGTTAAAGTAAAATAAAAATTTTCTGGAAAAAAAATCAGTGGTCGTTATTTACGGATCTGTTACGTTATATATGTTTTGTTGTCGTGTAACAAAATTTACTTTACTGAAATAAATCAAAATTTGCAGGAGCTGACTCGGCGGAACGGGCCACAATACTCCTCGGGTATAACCCTGCAGCAGACGGCCGATGGCAACATAATCGTGCTCGAGCGCTCAACGCAGGGAGACGGCCACTACATGCCCGTCAGGCTTGACCATCAACCGAGAACGGGTGCTAAACCAGAGAACCAAACAGCCCTCCAGCCACAACATCACCATCATCACCAGAACCATCACCAGCACAATCATCATCATCACCACCACCAGGAGCACAAGGAGTGATTTACCGAGCCGCATCGTGAACTCGTATCATCGTCTGACTCGGCTACACTCATATGTTGGGAGGCCTTTAATATAAATTTGTATAATACATAAGTTTCGAAACTTCTGAATCTACCATCAATGAAAGACACGTGGTTTACATATAATATTATCTCTTACGCATGGGATCATCATCATTTTATCACCACACCACGCGATGTGGTGAAAACGCGCACCCGCTTTACCATTGACGTATTTACTAATTAAAGTCCCTCCAATGTACCTGTGGCTATGACATGTTTAAATATATATATATATATACCATACACGCACATACAGACAATAGGTAATGACTTCATTGGTTGTATCTATTTGTGATGTGATCGCCAGTTAAAAATACAGGATGATCAAATATTTGAACTCTAGAGCATATTGCTGCAACCATACAAATTTACCACCTCATATAAAATTACATCGAGTTCAAATCCCAATATGCCGTTATGTGTTACCACTCGTATGGGGCTATGCATATATATGCATACTATACCCGATTGACGTCGCCGCTACCTATAATTTACGTTACTTATCAGTTTGCCGATGTCGCTGTCGGTGAAACCGAAAGGAGAGATAAAAAATCTACTTTAAAAGATGTACATACCTACTTTAATACAACTCATAAATCTACACATACACTACGCAATCGCATCGGGATGTTTTTTAACTCATAAAATGCCCGTCATACTCGCCGTCATCAATACCGATCAAACATACGCATATGATCGATTTCATCGGAACTGACGGCTGGGGCTTTATTTGGTGCAAACATGTTATTATGATTAATACGTACAATTAAGTATAGCATATATATATTTATTTGCCAAGGAGAGAATTAGGAGGTAGAATAATAGCTCATTATGTATCTGTCGAGTTTTTGGTTAAAAAAAAAGAAAAGAAAAAAAAAAAGTTTAACTCGAGGAAGGCACGTCATACTTTCAAGCCAACTTGTCAACGTCCGGTCCGTCTCTCTCTGCTTGTTCTTTTTCTTTTCATCCCTGAGGCTATTCGACTGTACGCTGACGACGACGACAATGTCGACGTCTCATTGATATTCTGACTCGGGAACTCTCCCAAAGCCTGTAAATTGCACGCTTTATTCGTCTCTCTAGGAGTCAAAAAAACAGTTAGCGCATCTTTGGGGTGTGATACTTCACAGAGATGACTCATTAATTTGTTTCGACCTTTCGGAAGACTGTTCTTTCTCTCT